TTTTGCATGTTTATTTTTCTTAAATACGTGCGGTAATGAACATCTGGTTTAATAAGAACTATTACTGGTTGTGAGAGTTATTAAAGATCTTATAATGCCACATCCTGACCTTAATAATAGACAATTCTTTACTACTTCATATGTTACTATGAAGAACATACTTTATACATAGGTACGAAGGAGTCTGAAAAATTACACCACAAAATTGGATTCTCTTTATCTGAAGAAAAAAAGATTTCAACCGGCCTCTCTCAATAAACGCATGTTGAACATAGATAGGTATTTAGTCAAAATAAAATGATAAGTTCAGTCAGCAGCGACACTGTTATTTACACAGGGTTAAATTGCAATTATCATTTCTCAGAAGGAGTGACACATTCAAAGAAACTTTGAATAAAATACGACGTCCGACATGATCAGAAATTGCCATAGGTGGTTGGTTTCCTTACTCAAAGGTCACAGGTAGGGTTGCCACCTTCTCAGGCTTTACATAAAGTATTTCTCGACTAAATGGTTAAAAAAAAGGAAGTACTCAGTATAAAAATAAAGTATTTTATTTTTGTTTTTAAAAACATATTTTTTGTTACACCTAGCAGCCAGTAACAAATTGCTGCCGCTCTTAAATATATTAATAGCCTCTAAACATCGCAAACAAAGATTTAAGTAAACTAAAAGTTCATTTTTAATTAGTTTCAATGAAGCTTTATTCCTGTCGTCCCGCCACTTTGCGTTCATAACAGAGAATACTCTTTCTGTAAATGCTGAAGTGGCCGGAACGGACAGCAAAAGTGACACTACTTTGAACAGATTTGGGAAATCAGGTTGTTCCGTAAATATGGCTTGCCATTTTTCTGTGCAATATTATTGATGTAAAAATACTCTGAATTTCGAATAATCGCTTACAAAATTACGATGTTTACTTAAGGCCTTAAATAAAGTATTTTTGCGTACTTTATGTCTTGTAAAATATAACGTACGCACAGTCGAAATAGAGTACAATACTTTATAATAAAGTACGGGTGGCAACCCTAGTCATAGGCTCAAGCAACAATTTCTTCACTCATTGACGTGTGATTTTATACGAACTTTCCGAAGCGCTCTCGTATAATATGTTTTATTGTATTTTAAAAGAGTCAAAACTGTTCAACATTACGTATAAACTGATTAAATAGGTACCTATGTAGATTGTAAAATATCTCAAAATAAACCGAGACATTTATGTAAATTAAAATTTTATTATTGTAGTTTACGTCTCTCGTTTCCTCAAATAATAATTTATATTATTATAGGCATTAAAAGGTCTGTTTTCCTGCAACTGTTAGTTATCAATAAGTTTAATGAGTACTTATTAGGTCATGTGTATGGAACAATTATTACAAATTGCCGATAAGTTGCCAGTAAGTTGGTGTTATATCATTGGGAAAGGTCATGATAATTGATAAATATGATCGATGCAGTCCAGTCTAACAGGAAGGAAGATAAGCAATACGGATTTTGCTATTTTTTTCGACGTAACTTTTTAATTTATTAAATTGAATCAGTAGAAATACTTGAATGCACAATATTCCTTTCGGATTTACTTCTTGTTAGGGGCTTCTTACATAGGTATTCAAATCAAAATAGGAGAGACATCTGCGGCTTTTAATAAGGTATATCATCAAATTTAAAGATAGTAGACGAAAAATTAGAAGAAGTGGCCGATTTCAGATATGTAGGAAGTCAGATAAGTCAGGACGGAAGGGAAATTAGAAATTCGAAAAAGATTATTAAAGGTGTATGTTTGGAGCATGGTGCTGTACGGGTGCGAAACATAGACAGTGGGCGCGGCAGAAAAAAAGGGTTAGAAGCTAGAAGACCTAGATTAGTTAAGGATATGGATTGAACTAGCTTAAGGGAAATGCGAAGATTAGCTCAGGATAGGAAAGAGTGTGGAGGTGCGTGTCCAACCAGTCTTAGGACTGACGACCTTATGATGATGATGATGACCCACAAATTTAATGAAGTTATGTGGGGAAATAATTATTAATATTTTTATAAATATGTGTATATTTACGCATGTTATTAATGCAGTCTTAAGAATTAATTTCGAATGACAACATATGCAAGATATGCATCAGATCTGCTTTGAATAATTGTCAGGCTAAAAGTGCTTAGTTAGCGTTTATGATAAAAACCGTACCCATTTACTTATTATCTCCTGCATTGCATGTGTGTTGTTAATTAAATTTTGATTTGATCTTGCTATGGTAACTGTTTTAAGCCGCCTGACATACCGGGTGTCCACAACAGAAATTACAGTTTAGTAACCAAAAATTAAACCCGATAAATTTTGACGAGAACGTTATTGTAAGCAGGCATAATGGAAAATTGTTGCTAAAATGTTATTAATGTTTTGAAATACTAAACAAGTGTCCTCGGTACAGATTTAGCAGTTTCATTCATGAAAACGTAGTTGTGACCTGTCATGAATGAAAAATTATCTTGTCGATGAAAATAAAAGCACTGGATATCGTTCGATAAAGCACTAGGAGTCACTAATGTCGAACGTTGACCGCAACAACCAGCTGTAATAAAGAAAAAAATTGACCTCTCGCACAGTTATCGAATTAACGATAAACATTACAATAAATTCCAGCGATATACTTCGTTATATATGTATATAAATCTTTAGAGTTATTACTTTTAAAAGTTGTGCTCTTTACACTAATTGCGTAAATAAATAATAATAATTAGATAGGTACCTATCTACGTAATTATTTCAGTTCTGAAAAGTATCATTTAATTTATTATTATATAATCTGGCATTTTATATGATATTATCGGTTACAGCATAACCCTTACCAATCTCCCAAAGCAATTATTAAATTCTATCCAAAAAACCGTTTAAACACTAAACCGATGAAATTTTCATTCTTAGTTGACCGATTAACTACCAGACGGCAGTGTTGAAATGCATTGAAATGCATAAATACCAAAAGTCTGCAAGGTGACCAAAAGCGACAGAAATTGTAATAGTTCGGCCTTACTGATATATTATTGTTCATGAAATAAAAACATAAAAGCCATATCCAAATAAGAAATAATTTAGTATAGTAATCAATAAATAAAGTAAATTAGGATTTCCCAATCTAATCTTAATTACAAATTGATATTAGAAGGGTAGATATTATGTAATACTTATTGAATTCGTTTTTTCCTTTTTCTGGTTAGAAGAATTACTCGGTGCCATTATTCGGTACAGGGCCGGATCCAAACCGCGTACCTGCCGTATCCCTAATCTAATTTAATTGGGAATCTACATAACACATTGGATGCGCCAAAATATTGTGTCGAATGGTACTAAAGATACCTACATAATAATTCAGCTCATAAGTTTTGACCATGATGAATTACCACCAGTGGATGGTATATGGTAAAACTAATGTCGTTTAGTTTTATTATCGCAAAACCGTTGGGTTTTTTCGTACTTCCTGAGGCTGGACCGATTTGTCACCACCGTCAGATATTTGTAAGAAGCAATTAAGCAGTTAACGTAATCTTCAAGAGGATTTATGCTTCCATGACAATTTAATGTACTGATAAATATGCCTCAACCACTAGCTTCGTCAAATGCGACCGGATGTTCATTTTTATTTTTTGAACAATTGTCATTATTATCATCTAAATAGACGTCCAGTAAGAAAGTGCAGATGTGAATGCGACCACATAATAAGAGCGCAATCAACTAACTAGAATTTTCACTTTTTAGGGTAGAAATGGGTTCATTTTACTCATCTTGTTTTACAAAAAAAATGGATCATTATTTTCAAAGCTTTTTTTTTTGGATATAAGTATTAGTGAAAACTGTGTGCTTTCATAGTTATATGAAATGAGGCATTTAACTCCTTTATTGATGGATTGTGAAAGGGTTGAGAAATCCTTGATAGTAAGAGGGGGTTGGTATTGCTTATGAGTTTATGATGAAGTGTTTAACTCCTTTAATTAGGGGTTGTGAAAGGTTGGAGAAATCCTCGATAATAAGAAGGGGTTGACATTATTTATGTCTTTACATATTTAAGGGACATTTTGGAGACCCTGAAAACTCAAAGCGCTCACTAGAAGCTGAAAATATGTATCAGTTGGTAAAGGTCTAGATGATGGCCCCCACACCCTTCGGGGATGGGGGGATCGAAAGAGGAGGTCTCCCCCACCACTGTACCATAAAAAGTTCGTGGCGGTCTCACTCCCATAAAAAGTTATGGGGGTTGAAAATTGATTATTTTGACAATTTTCATACACTATAATTCAAATAAAATTCAATAAAAAAAATATTTTCAAGCGGGTGGAGGTGGGGGATCGAAAGAGGGTGATCACTTGAACAAAACCCGATAACCTGACCTAACCTAACCTACCTTATTGATAAAGATATTTAAATAATGTTTTATATCTTTCTCAATATTGTTATGTATTTTTAATTAGTTTTACCTTTGAAAATTGTTTAAGAATGACTATATAAATATTTACATGCCTAGAAATGTATAAAAATTGGCATATTTATTAACTTGGAACCCCCATAACTTTTTATGGGGGTGAGACCGCCACGAACTTTTTATGGTACAGTGGTGGGGGAGACCTCCTCTATCGATCTCCACCATCCCCACCCCCGAAGGGCCATCATCTAGACCTTTACCGACTCCTTTAATGATGGGTTAGGTTATGGTGGAGAAATTCTTGATAGTAAGAGGGGGTTGGTATTGCTTATGTGTTTATGATGAAGCATTTAACTCATTTAATTATGGGTTGTGAAAGATTGGAGAAATTCTCGATAGTAAGAGGGGGTTGGCATTATTTATTTGTTTACATACTTAAGGGACATTTTGGAGACGCTGAAAATTCAGATGCTGAAGATATGTATTAGTTTTTGACTTGATTACAGTTCTAACTGTTTTAGGTGTCAAATTCTCAAGTTATAATTGTTGTTATTTCGAATCTGATAAGCTAAATTTCATAAGAACACTTACCTCCATAATTTTCCTAACGTTTTTGATAGCTCGGCGTTGTGTAGTTGTGGATATTGATCTGCCAATTTTCGACGTGCAGCCTGTGCCCAAACCATAAACGCGTTCATTGGCCTTTTGACGTGAAGTTTTCTTTTGTCGGACGATGCTCTAAATTAAAAAAACAAACATATTACCAAAAGTAGGCAAGACGTTTTCATTTAGAGCAGTTCTAACAAGTTTAAGGTAAAGCAATAAATCTGTTTTTAAATCAGAGGGGGGGGTCATCCTGTCATAACCTAACCTAAGGCATTGCTGCATAGTATTTATCCCTGGCGTGTATTTCATCCTTGCTGCATAGCACATGAAACATGTCAATCGCAGAATAATACAGAAGATATATAGTGGAATTCGTTTATTATGACTCCGCCTATATTGACCAACCGCTTAATGTGAAGTAATTGCAGTGTTAAATTTGGTTTTCATATTAAATTCTCTATTGGAAAATTTGGATATAATGACTCCGTTTAAAATGACATACCGTTTATTATGACTTATTCTCAAGAAATCATATCCGGCTATAGTGACCCAAATGATTAATAATAACATTTTCGCTCATTTTTCTGACCTTTCTTATGTACATTGATATTACAATTCATCGTTATTTTTCCATTTCTGTTAATAAATATCTACAATTTGTAGTTTTTCTCTCTATTAAACTAAATAACTAACCAAAATAGAAAGTCGTTTATTTTCTAATAATATGCTTTGTATGACGCCCGCTTAGTATGACGTGTTTGTCATTTCCCTTCGATATCATTATAAGCGGATTCTACTGTATATTGACTATTTGCTACAAAATGACCATATCATTTACCAACTAACATTCTTTCTTACATTGAAAATAATGACGGATTTTAAAATTCAGCTTATTCATGATTGAATACTGATATATAAAGACGTCCAACACGTAAGTGTTCGTGATCATCCTGGACATTAAAAATTAGCTATTTACATGCTTTCGCTAGACATTTTAATAGTCGTTTAATTCCAAAACGTTGTATCATCTGAGGAGGTAACTGCACCGCTTTACATTACAAGCATTTTACGCTAGAAACATAGATATTAGCACATTATCTACCATAAGTATCTTGACTTCCGAGTAATTCTTTCATTTTTCCATTTTTTCCTATTTTTTACGATTTGTTCATTACACAAGTCGTTTTATTAAGTGTGAATTCAGTTCAAACCCTTTAGGTCACCCCCCCCCCTGAAATAGCTTTTCATATACACTTTTTGTCAATTTTTGGGGTTCCCCTATCCCTCTATTACTTTCAGAGACTTTCAACTTTTAAACAAAATTAGATATCAACGTGATGTTGGTTTAGAGGAGAAAGTCGTAATAAGCGTATATATTTTTCAAAATCAGAACACATTATTTAGTTAGTGATGTGGTCCCCTACAGGCCAGACACAAGAAAAATAACTAATAGACAAAAGATTAGAGGGGGCTCATGGATAGTAGTTTCGGAGAACAAAAGCAGTTACATGGGCAAATATGTGTCTTACGAGTAAAACTATTGAAACAGTAAATAGAAGTAAGAGATGAAAAGTACCGTCAGTTAAGACCAATTAGCACGCATACTTTAATTAACGGATTTTAAAAACATTTTACTCGCGGAACACTTTGAGAACGGCGTACCGTGTGCGCTTTATGCCAGTTCTACTCTCGTATCTAGATACCGGGAAAGAGGGACTACTTGACCATCATACGGCTTAAAATTTTATCGCATACCCGACGCAAATTAGTAGGCGTTGTAGTGAAACAACTGACACGTTGCTGCCGTCGCCGTCGAAGGTGGCGCTTCCCTCCAAAGTACTCCGTGGCCATTTGTAAAAATGCTTTTAACAACAGAAAAATGTTAAGTTTCTAAGCCTAATTGCACGCTAATGAAGAGACATGGTAATTGAGTAAGCCTAAAAGAGGTAAAAAAGGGTAAAATACTGCTCAATAGATGGATTGGGTATATACTGGAATTTGTTATTATTTTCCTTCTTTTCATTCTTTACTTCAGTATTTTCGAGGGTTACATTTAAAAATGTGAAAGAATTGTTAACAGGTTGTCTAATCTGACTTAACAACAACAAATAAGATTCTAACTATATCCCTCTACGTCGAATTTAACTATGGACACCAAGAAGGTATTACAGTTGGCAAAATTGGCGATATACACAAAATATACTGCCCTTAAACGAAGGACTAGTTAGACTATTACAAGCACAAACGGGAGTTAAGTGGAGTATAGGTAGGTAGGACGGTACGAGGAGTATAGGTGGGATGGTCTAGTGTTAGGGAAATGTGAAGATTACTGAGACTAAGACTGACGACCCTATGATGATGATGATAAGTTTATCGTTGATGTATGTTTTGTCTGCACAAAATGGCAATGCCTATGTTTGTATGCCAACAGTTGTATTTTACCTGCTATATTATATCTAATTTCTTTAATTTAAAATGCTGATATTTTACAAATCGCATGTAACGTATGCCATGCTAAATTCGTATTTATAGTATGTAGTTATATATTCTCATCTTCTATAGTCATTTGACATAGAAAGTTGGGCACCTTAAAAGAAACGCGAAAGTAGGTAGATACAACGGAATATCGAGTATTTTATTCGCTACAACTTTCACAGTCAATATTAATTAATATCTCAAGTGGTAATGGAAATCCTTGAGCTTTTGTTATTTAGAAAATTCTAGAAATGCAAAAATGCAGGACATTGGTTGCATCACTCTCTGTAGGGGAACATTATAACACAATAATTATACTTTAAATAAACATTTTAAGATTTAAACGAATGAAAATCACATATATACAAGGACAAGACAATACTAGAATTTTTCATTATTTTTCGATAATAAGAGCTATATTTGAAAAATACCTACATCATATATTGTAGTCGTCTTGCGACAGTCCTTTTACCGATAGATAAAGGAAATAGATAATTATCAAATCATTAATTAATCTATTCGCAATGTGTTCTATTCTCCATTTCATCCCGTAGTTTGGATAATATTAAATAAAGTTCAAGGCAATTAGGTTTTGGAAGGTTTTTATTTATGAAAAACCAACACCAACCTCTATGTGGGAGTCTTTTTCAAGGTAGGTTCTTACATAACTAAAGAATCTACCTTGAAAAAGCCTTCCAACCCTTAATTGGTTTGAACTTATGTTTTACAATAAGGAATTTTTAACTAATACCTAATAGTATGGTCATTTGAAATTTTCCCCACCATAAGTATAATGTATCAATTTTCTTTTTTTTTTTTGGTCCACAAAAATATCGTATTACGTGTTAGAGTTGAGTATTAATAACTTAAATTCCGAAAATAAAATTTCACCTTTTGGGCCGTACTAATACTATTAAAACTGTCAAAGTAATCGTAAAACGTTGTTTAGGCCAGAACCTCAATTTAGTCCCCATCTACGTTGGCTATCGATGTTATGAAAAATATAATGAATATCCGGTTGTAGTTTACATAACATCGGGTCGTGTTTCAAAAATGAACCCGTAAAAGATTAGCAATTTGTTTTCAGTGTTGAAAAATAAAATCGATCTAACTTTAGTGATCAATTAACCAAACACAGGGTGATTTAAATGAACTACGCACATTAAATGGATCTTTTCCTTCAATCGAAAAATAAATTGCTTCGAAAGTTATGTTTTGGAATTTCGCAAAAATTGGAACATACCTGACGCATGTTTATGTTTATATATGTTTGTACATATAAAAAAACAAAAATGCTTAAGCTTTCGTAATATCAAATGTTTATGATAAAACTCAAAAATAACTGTAATCGTTCCTGAAATCTGTTGAAACGGCATCAAATGCAGCAAAAGAATCTTGGAAACGGCTCAACTGATTTTAATCAAATTGGGCAAAAAGCACCACAGAAAAAATATTAAGTACACGTAGAATAGACTGTATAAAATCTATTTACTCTTTTTGGAACTAGAGTACCATAGATAAATACATGGGTACTCATATTTGGATAAAAACGATCCAAAGATCAGATCAAAGACAGAGTCTTCTTTTAGGCAGTAATTTAGAAAATTGATGTATTTGGATTCACAATTTCGATTCAAGACCCTTTCATGATTGCGATGATATATGTAGTCTCTAAATGATTGAAAATGTTCAAATTTTCCATATAATATACATGTAAAACAGAAATATTTCCCATAAGTAACCCACGAAGTATAAGTCAGTTTTCAGTGTAGGTAAATTTAAATTTATTTTCTTTGTCATTTGCCATTTATTCCTGGCCCGTCAAAGAAAATTTGTATCTGAAAACTGAAAGCTTAATGAGGCTTTCCATTTCGAATTGAAACGTGTTTTTCCAGTTTATTTTCAGTTCAATTTTCGACGTCAATGGCTTGTTTTTAAGCTTTAAACAAATATAATCGATTTCTTGTTCATCTTTTTTTGCACAGTCTATTTTCAACTTTATTAATATGCTACATATGGACGTTTAAATGATACTGTTTACTTTTATTTTAATGTTATGCTTAATTGGAAACAGATTTCAAACCATGTTTGACGCGACCTTTACGCTATATTCAGTTCCTCAGCTTGATTTCGAAAGAAGCTACCTAACATTTAGAATCTCACGAAAATGAATTAGTAAAGAGCAGTTTGTTTAATCTGTTATCAATAAAATACTGGTTACTTTATCAGTTTTGGCTCTCAATTAGATAGCACATGAATGTGGAGCAGCATATCAAACACAGCATAGAAACTAATTCATACCATCATAAAGCAAAGAAAAGCACGCTATCAAAAGAGCTGCAAGCCCTAAGCCCAAAGTTATTTTTTAAAGTGCCATGATCCTTGAAGCCCCAATTACATTTGAAAATCCAAAAACTTCGAATTACTTATCCACTAATTACATTTAAGAGTAATTCAGTTCAAAGTTTAAAGGACTTTGACACAGCTTGAAGTTCTTTGAAATACAAATTACAAAATATTTTTATAATGTAAAACGTTTACCAAGTCCCAATTACTTGTTCACGAAAGGACCTGATTCTAATCCCTGAAAAAACTGGAAGCACATTTTGAAGCATCCAACTAAATAGTGACAAGGCTGAATCATTTATTTTAAACTGTTGTTACAGGTTCGCCTTCACAATACAATTAAACGTCGGCTACCCTAATGAGATATTTGATAATCCTGATTATCGATTATGAGTTATAGTCGTTTTTAAAATCAATGCTGCTTCCAGAAACGTCTAAACCTAATTTGAAACTTCATCAGGACTACGATGAAATGACTAATGGACTAAAAATTTGGCAGTGAGTAGGTGTGTGATTGTAGACTTGGTTTCGATTATGTATCATTTATTTATCAAAATCTTTCAATTTTTTAAGAGCGAGTATCTAGGAAGTCAGATAAGTCAGGACGGAAGGAGTAGTAGGGATATAAAGTAGAGGATAGCGTAGGGTCGAGACGTCTTCAATAAAAAGAAGTCATTTCTATACTCGCGAACGATTAATTTAGAAATTCGAAAATGATTGTTAAAAGTGTATGTTTGAAGCGCGACACTGTAAGGGTGCGAAACGTGAACGGTGGGCGCGGCGTAAAAGAAAATGTTAGAAGCGTTTGAAATGTGGTTTTACAGGCGAATGATGAGGATACCGTGGATAGAGAAATGAAGAGGTATTAGAAAGAATAGGAGAACAGAGGACTCTATGGAAGTCAATAAATATAGGCGAGATAGGTTGGTAGGACACCTTCTCAGGAATGAAGGTTTAATCAGAGATATATTAGAGGCAGAAACAGGAATTAAGAGAAGCAGTGGTAGACCTAGATTAGTTTTAGGGAAAATCGAAGGAAAATCCGAAGATTAGCTCAGAATACGAAAGAGTGTAGGTGCGTGTCCAAACAGTTTTAGGACTGACGGACTCATGATGATGAAAGCTGTACCCAGATGGATAAAATTTTGTTTAATTTTTTCACTTTTGGTAAAACGTGTTGTTTGAAGTACTCTGTATTTGCAATGAACGTGCATGAGCCTACATGTACCTATATGTATAGTCGTACATTATTGTATGCGACGTTATCATTCGTAAGAGAATCAATTTGTTCACTGTTATCACCAGTTCTATTATTATTATTATTTAATATGTAGTAAAATTCTTTGGGAAACCTAATCGGGTTGTTTTCGCTGCAACCTGAGACTTGGCCTTGGAGCCGATAAATGTACACACTTTATAATTTATAACAACTTACTCCGGTAGGTATACCAGTGATTACACCTAAAATTCTCGAACCCTGAGAAAGTGTACCTAAGAATAAATGATAAGTGTTTGCGCGATATTTTTGTAACTTGTTTAAATAATGGATCAAGGTCATAACTGAATAAACGTCCCTTTCGATTTTTTCTTTATCAATAAATAAATAGCGCGTGCGTCTGTCAAATGTTCCAATATTCATCTCTTCTTAAAGAAAATCGTAAAATTTGTGTATACAAGTAAAAAATGTAAATACTAATTGCATGATAAGTTAGGGAAATTATCTATCTGTATAACCACTAAAATTTCCTAGCAGTTGTTCGTTATTATCACGAATTTTGATTAAAAAAAAGAGCATGACGTCTTAAAAAATTTCCATTTTAGAGATAGATTTATCATTGTAATTAGTCACATTGGATAGTGATTTTGTCTGGTACCGGATAACTGGTACTCGACATTATGTGCAAAATCACTACGGTTAGATAATGGATTATGACTTCGTTCTAGGGGCCATTCCACTAAATATCACCCTCACTAACGTCCCAAACCACAGTAAATCCAATTGAAAAAGTCGTTTGAACAGTAAACCAGTAAAATTATTTTCATTCGTATTTAGTGGATATTTAATGAGAGGGTTGAGCTGAAACTTTTAGTAATCTTTTCCGAATTTCTAAATTAATCGGTTGCGAGCGATTAAAAGCAATACGACCTGATTCTACCCTACTTCCCAGAAAAAGACACCTACTTATTTTTAAATGTATAGCAAGGATATTTCTGCGTAAAAATCGCAAATAATGATTCCCTAAGGAGTTTTTCAACTTACTTGGTGGCGATAGGTACTAAAGTCCAATCGTAACCCTTTAAAACTTTGGTAACAGCTTCGTTAATTTCGGTTTTGTCGATTGACGAGTGTTCTTCTGATGTCGGAGATCTTTGGGGCGAAGTCGTACCATGTTGGATGGACGCGGCGGCCGCCGCCGCGACGCTTGCCGCCGTCGTGGCCGTCAAAGTTACCCCCGCCGCCGTCGCGCAACTCAAATTTGACGAAGATAACATTCTTTCTTGCTCGTTGTTGGCACTTATAGAGTCTAATCACTCGATCAATGTTATCGATTGTTTGGTAGGTTCGAGTAAATTATCGATCACAATCGGGAATCACTGGCACCACGCAGTCTAATTGAAAAATTCATGAATGAATTTGTAAAACCACCTGCCTACTACGATTACACAATGGAAGCTCTGTTAAGAATCTCATCGGTCCAACACCTCCCGTTGCAAACAGTGATCATCAAAGAGTGCTTTGAAATATCTGAAACTGTTTCATATACCACGCGTCAACGACGAGATAACTTTAAGTGACTTAAGTAAAGTAATGCGCTCAACGAAGCCGATCATGCGTGGTGCATGCAAACGAGAAAGAACGACGCTGTGGACGCTCGTTTATTTCTTTCGCGGGACATGCTACACATGTTGATGCCAAGGAAGCAAGATATCGTCCAATGAAAGCGGCACGTCACTTAAAACAAGTACGCCTAGCGTATCGTCATTGGTCGAGAAATTAAGTTCTTTTTACTAATTTGTTGTGCTTTGAGCTTTTACTGTTTTTGTACCGAATGGTGTCGTAATTATTATGGATCTTGCTACATTGACACTAACTTACCTTCCATCAGCATCAAGTAACTACCTAACTTGTGTATCACAGATAGGATGTAGCCTAAATCCCTACAATAAAAATAAAATCAAAGGAGCGAACATTTTCTTTAGCAAAAAGAACAGAATTTAACAAATGAAATTTTCGGTGAATCAAAATTTCAATGATGGGCTGAGCCACAAGCTTTCAGTAGCAATATCCGCTGAGCTTTAGCTATGGGCTCTGCGATATGATGGGACCCCACAGCCCATTTGAAACTGAAAAACTAATAAAAATGATAAACACAATCCTTCAAGAAAAATTCCGATATTCCTAATAGAGACGCAGATATGAGTAATTTTGTCAAAGTGATTTTTCGAGATTGCCTCTGGCGTGCTGATGGAATCAAATACAATTGAAATTGGACAAAGATACCTTAGCAAGGTCCTTATCTAACATTTGAAATATTTCAGAGTTGTTAACTTAAAATATCGGTTTTTATTTCTTTTAAAGTTTAAATAATTAATACAAGAACAAAAATGTATGTGCGATTTTGTGTTGCATACTACTTGTATAGAAATTTTGGTAACTGTTAACTAAGCGCTGGAAATGAGTCAACTAATTATGCCATTTATGCCTAATTGCACCCTTTACTCGGAGATGCAATGTTTTTCGTACCTTCCGTTCCTTAATTGAACGCTAGAGCACAATTTTAGAACTCTCATGTTCTTGCTTTTCCCCGATGCTATTCCTACAGTTTATGTATCAAACTTCAAGCACATAAGTAAAGCTCCATGAGCTGTACAAAGTGGAGACGTTATAATCCTAAAATTGTTGTTAGAAAAATAAGTGAATTATAATTTAATTAAATTGTCGTGATGGTAGAAATTTTCATCTTAATGCAATATCTACTTAGTATTAAATAAGTGAATTGCAATTAAAATTCATATGAACCAAAAGAATTTTTCATCATCAGCATAAGGTCGTCAGTCCTAAGACTGGTTGGACACGTAGGTACCTCCACTTTTTCCTATCCTGAGCTAAACTTCGCATTTCCCTAAAACTAGAACAACCCACATCCTTAACTATTTGCGAATAGTAATCTAACCTACGTCTACCTCTACCCCTCCTTACTCCTGTTTCTGCCTCTAATATGTCTTTGACTAGACCTTCATGCCTGAGAAGGTGTCCTACCAACCTATCTCGCCTATTTTTTATTGACTTCCATAGAGTCCTCTGTTCTCCTATTCTTTTTAATACCTCTTCATTTCTAACCTTTTCTACCCACGTTATCCTCATCATCCGCCTATAACACCACATTTCGAACGCTTCTAACCTTTTCTTTTCCGCCGCTCCCACTGTCCATGTTTCGCACCCGTACAACGCCGTGCTCCAAACATACACCTTTAACAACCTTTTTCGAATTTCTAAATTAACCGTTCGCGAGCATAGAAGTGACTTCTTTTTATTAAAGGCGACACGACTCTGCGCTATCCTCTGTTTTATATTCCTACTACTCCTTCCGTCTTGACTTCCTAGATATCTAAAATCAGCCACTTTTTCTAATTTTTCATATCCTATCTTTATATTCGCTCTTTCCCTACTTTTTCTTCCCTTGCATACCAGTATTTTAGTTTTACTTTTATTAATTTCATACAGTACTGATCTGTCAGTACCATTTCCATTTTATTTAAAAAGTAGATAGCTGTACGTATTTAGACTTCCTTAAAATTGAATCGAGAAGGTCTAACCTGCTCCCCAAAATAAATAAAAATTGTATTTTATATCACTCTGTATTGTAGATTAAAAAATAGATGCAATAAGTTTATGTTTTCTTTTTTATATTAATACGCTTAATTATCGTAGCTTGGTACTACTAATGATTTTCTTCAAAATTATGCATTTTTAACAATCTTTTCAAAGCACAGGGTGCGAGTATTATTGGATAACTTAATTTTTTGTGCGATAACACAAGAAAAATTCATGAGACATCAGTGAAACAGCCGTCGGGACGCGACGGAACGGTGATGATGACGTCGGGCGTCGATGCCGCATGTGGTACTCATGATGCGTATCGGTAACCGTGACGCATGTCGTCGCGAAGCGTCCTGGTGCTATCTACCTGAAGATCATTCGCTAATGATCAATTAATGTTTGCATATCTTCAACATTCGTCGTGCCTCTTTATATTTGTATGCGTAGTTTATCTTCGAGAGGAAAGATAGCTGAATTTAGAAATGGACTTTGTTGCCAATTTTGCACATTTTCACTTTTTCTGTACTAATAATTATAATGAGATAATCTCAGTAAGAGCTAAACTAAGTGCAAAAATTCTTTCAGTATAATTGTGTTGACATTAATAATTTATATATCTAAACACATGTTGCATCTCATTTAGCAACGATTTAAAAAATCCCATTAAGTTCGTGGTTAGTACACTTATTGAAAATATGGGATGTGGCTGAGACATTGTTCTTATTTTGGTCCCATCAGCACACTATAAGCGCTCTGGATAAATCATCGAAAATGCTTCATATATAAACATGTACAGTTATGGCAGTATGTTGCAATCTACTGATATTTGCTGCTAAAGCTCAAAAAAAGTCGCTATTACTTTTCTAACATCAGTCGAAATCACTGTAATATGTGTAATAATTAACCAAACTTAGTTTCGCTTAAATTTAACTGAACAGTGTTGAAGATTTGTATTGTGTAAAATATTTCGATTGATGCTTTTTTGTTTAGACTGAGCAGTTCTACTGTTGCTATTGAAAATATTATTTTAAATTGATAGTTAATTGGAAATTGTATCTATACTTATTTGCATTTTCATGAATCGACATGTGCTGTTCTCAAGGTGCTTTGTATGATTAATAAGTCTTGATCTTATCCAAAAGCGGTAAAAAACAAACGATGAAATGCATATCAATCGTACGTACAGAAGGGAAAAACAATAAACTAAACGCATAAAATGATTACTATAGAACTTGTTGCACTTGTTTGTATATATTTATGCAGTACTTGCATGAACTTGTTCGTTCTGTTATGTGTTCTTCCCCTAATCGAATAATATTAAACAAATTATTCATGTGGGATAATATCGAAATGTGACGTATATGCGTTTTCGGTCAAAAGTTTTTTTGAAAAGTATTATATGTTTAAACTGTGTTACCAAAATAATTAATTTATGTAACTTAAGGTTCTATCTATAAAGGATTAAACGAATTTTGATTCAATCGTGCAAGAAAATTATGATTTCGCCTTCATACAGAAATAACAAAAACATACGTAAGAAATCTGTTTTCATAAGTATTTTCAATTTCTCCTTCTTCGTCACTTTTCCATCAATGCATGACATTTCGCTAATAAAGTTAAACTAGAGATAGGTTAATTTATGTATGAAAATTATTTGTTTCGAATTTTTTAACTGAATATAAGAAATTCTATTTTATCGGAATTCCCGTGATTTCGATAAATACTTTTCTTTCTTACCGTTATAGTTAGATTGGAGGGGGGGGGGGTAAAAGTGAAAATTTTGTGGTTAATTTCATTTGTAATATAAGTCTGTGTAACAGCATATCTGTAAAAGCATCACATAAAAAAGGATCATGTATAGGTACTCCAATTTCCCTTATTTACCATTAGCAATAATAAATTAGGATTAATTATTCAAAACTAGTACATATTACGATGTTAAATATACTTAAAAATGTAGGGATGAGTTACAAAGATAGAAGGGTGACACTTAGTTTGTATAAAGAGCAACAGGCAGTTATAGAGCTGGGGCTGTAACGTAGAGAACTAAATATTAGGAAGGAAATCAGACAGGGATGCACACTGTCACCGCTACTTTTTAATCTAAACATGGTAGACCCGATCAACATCATTAAAGATAGGACAACTGTACGGATAGATATACAGAAGCAAAAGATTAGTATGCTTAGATTTGTAGGTGATATAGTAGTATTATTATTAGTCACTTCTATGCTCGCGAGAACAGTTAATTTACCAATTCGGAAAAGATTGTTAAAGGTATATGTTAGCAGCACGGCGTTGTAAGGGTGCGAAACTTGGACAGTGGGCGCGGCGGAAAAGAAAAGGTTAGAAGTGTTCGAAATGTGGTGTTATAGGCGAATGATGAGGATACCGTGGATAGAGAAGGTTAGAAATGAAGAGATATTAGAAAAAATAGGAGAACAGAGGACTCTATGGAAGTGAATAAGAAATGAGCGAGATGGGTTACTATTTATATATATTAGAGGTAGAAACGGGAGTTAGGAGGGGTAGAGGTAGACCTAGATTAGATTACTGTTCGCAAATAGTTAAGGATGTGGGATGGTTCTAGTCTTAGGGAAAATTCCAGTCAGTCTTAGAACTGACGACTTATGATGATGATGAGTACATATCTGCAAAGTAAATTATAACCCGAAATAGTATGTACCAACACGTGCAAACGTTATTAATTTTGCGTTTTGTTATATTGATCCTTGAACATCCTGATTGATATATTACAGGAAGATTATCTTTGGCAACATGTATTAAATGAGAGGTACCGTGGTAGAAACTTGCGACCCTGTGCCAAATTATCATGCTATTATTAACATCGAACCAAACGAGTGAAAAGGCGCTCAAAGATGCGCAACTTTCAAGTAGGTAAAGATTTGGATTGCAGTTGATATAGATCTTGCAATAATTAGATGAAAAATTTCTATCGAATTTCAAATTTGTGATTTTCGTTTGTTTTCTTTGAATTGTAAGATGGTACAAAATCAAATTAACACCTACAATTGGCATCTATATCTCTTCACAAGCTTATTCTTGTACTAGTTTTTGATTTTTCAGAAAAACAAAGACAAATATCATTCTAAAAGATGTTAAAGTGTGTGTTAAATAACTTATGTACATTATAATTCAAAACCGTATTTTCAACTTATTATATTTAATTGTATTATATGTATGGCTATTTGTTATTTGATCACCCTGTATATGTGGAACTGCTCATCTTGAGTGGTTTGTGTCTTGTATTAGTACGATTTCAATTCGGTCTCTCGCTGTTAGATGGCAACAACAGTACCATTGTGATTTATTTTGTTAAAGTTATCTGAAAATAACCTACAAATTTGACAGTAAATTTCTCTTCAAAGAAAGGCGAAAAAATGTATCTTATGTACTATTTGGACGAAGAAGGAAAACGATCATACACATTAAAGGTACGTACTTATCATTTTTGTTAATACACTTAAGTTTTGAGTTTATTTTCAGAAGGTGGATCCTCATGGGAACCCTACATTTTCAGCTCATCCTGGTAAGTCTCGTTTTAATTGTATTTATAATTAAAATATTAATGATTTATTGGTGAAATATCTGCCCTTTACCTTGCATTTTCTTCTGGGGTACATACATTATAATATTTTCTTTTTAGCTCGATTTTCCCCAGAAGACAAGTATTCTCGTGAAAGAATTATCATTAAAAAGAGATTTGGTCTATTACCCACTCAGAAACCTGAACCAGTTTATTAAACATGTACCTAGGATTATCAGTAAATAATAATATGATGATGTTTACTCTATTTTGTAATGTTTTCAATTTGCAAATAAAATAGAAGAATATGAATGTAGTAGTTTGTTTTATTACTGTATTTATAATAAGAAACATTTAAAAAGCTTTTGAATTTCCTTCACTAACCTTATTTACATGCTTACCAAATTTTTAATTGAGAATTGCACACAGCAATATTACATTAGGTGACCTTTTGCATGATTTCTTGATATAGAGATTAGATCAATTTATTTACAATTTTTTCACCCCTAATAAGGAGTTTAATGAAATAGCCCTTCTTACTATTGTCCCATTTCGTTGTATACAATCTAAAATTAATGAAGGTGTTACATTGTTTTGTGGAGGGTGATAATTACAATTAATACCAGAATTACGATAATAATTACTTTATACATATTTTATATTTACAAATTGTTATTATCAGTAATTTCTGATTTCACGTATATCCCCTAAAATAATTAGAAATCTTGCAAAAAGACCCTAAAGTTAATTTACAGACCTAGACAGAGACTTCTTATTACATAGTGGTATCAAAGTATTTAATCACCATTATCATATTCAACGTAAAGACTTACAGAAATAACAACATATTTATCTATAAATTT